GCTGTGTAGAAAAATACTTGGAGCAGCTACCATATCTGCCCAGTTTAACAGCGACGTCTGCCTCTGGTGGTAAAACGTGAGTAGAAAATCATGAAACTACCAGCAGAATCTAAATCAGAAAGACTTGTTGTTGTGTTCCTTTTGGCCTTATAACGAACGAATGCATGGCTTGAATGCTCAAATTGTAAGTCCGTTAATAAGCAAAGCTTACATTTTAGTAATTCCTGCGAAGGCAAAGCCACCTAGTCGTCCTATTCATCTCTCGGAAGACAAAACCTGGTATACGTCCCTTGAGGGCTAAGCTCAGAAAGGCGCTTCCTGTATATCTCTGTATGGCTTTGCCTGTTGTAGTGCTTTTCAGTTCAGGTAGGACTGGGACGATAGGAAAATCTCGTGAGTGTGTCTTATTGAGCGGACATGTAAGCCAGGAACTGCTAAGTGCTTCTAGGTATTAGTGTATCCAGAACGAAGCACCGAAACCGAATACGGGTAATTTCCATGCTATCTGCGTATCTTGCGCTACAGGTATCCATTATGCTTGTTATGTACATTAATTAATAACAACGGAGCAAAATCGAAAGTAGGAAAGAAATGTCATTTGAATAAATTATGGTGCCGACGCTTAGGGATAGAGAAATAAAAGGAAATAAAATAGGAAGGCGGAAGCTGGTCAACAGAGAATGTTAGTTTTGTATTGGATATATTCGGGTGTTGCTCTTTCCAACACTGGCACCCCACAACCGCGGTTTCGTCTTGGTTTAGACTCGTCAGGTGGAGATAGTCTGAGCTGGGGTGGAACTCAGAGCTTAGTAGCTCATGGCTGACGCCCTGAACACTATGCTACTGAGATCCGCGAGCAACGCTTGGCATAGCGGAAAGTAATTCAAGTTGAATTTGGAAGCACGCTGTGTGGTTGGGTTGCGACTCGCAACCTGTATTGAGACCTCGGCTCACTTTGAGGTAAACCTCGGTCATTCCGATCTCGAGGACGATATCCTGAATGGATATATTTGGGTGTTGCTCTTCCCAACACTGGCACCCCACAACCGCGGTTTCGTCTTGGTTTAGACTCGTCAGGTGGAGATAGTCTGAGCTGGGGTGGAACTCAGAGCTTAGTAGCTCATGGCTGACGCCCTGAACACTATGCTACTGAGATCCGCGAGCAACGCTTGGCACAGCGGAAAGTAATTCAAGTTGAATTTGGAAGCACGCTGTGTTTTGTATTATCCCCAAATTGCATGAATTTGAAGCACAAAATCGTTAACCGAATGTGCTATAAAATCTATTCCTGAAAGAGTTTGTAGCGTTCTGAAATTCCGTGTGCCACCTGAGTTTCCGTCCTAATCCGGTCAGAACGCAGCTTCTGCAATTTCATGAGGTTATTGCGAAAACTAACTAAATAGCGAAGACAAGACCAGGCCAGCCATCTTAGTTGGCATAAATAAGTCAAGATAAGGCCTCAAAGTCTTCGGTAGGGTATTGATTGCATATCCAAACTAAGTGGACGCTAGGGGTGCCTTAGCCTCCAAAATCCATTTACCAACCTAGTATTTACGGGCAAGATTTGTTCGGCTCCATTTTGTCCCGGATGAGGAAGTCTGATCAAACCGATACCTAGTACTGGCCTACTGCTGACATCCTCATCTGGCAGTAATACCTAGTGAACGCCGCGAAGGTGTACTAACCTGGGTTTAACAATGAAACCCATGACTTCGTTCTTGATAGGCTGTTGAATTTGAACTACTTATGTTCGAATACCGGATAGCAGTCTACAGCAGTCAGTTTTTTGGATGCGGTGATAACAGGTGTTATCACAAAAAGGAAACCGCCAGTAATCTCTATACAGACAAGCGGCATCAATAAGAGGTATGATTTGCTGTCTACAAATCACCTACAAAATTGAGACTAAAGGAATTTGATCGATAGACCGTTTAAGTGCCATTGACCCAACATGCGGAGGACTGTGTGCGAAAGTGCAACGTATCAACTAGATAATTGAAACCAACTTCATTATTACGGATTCGTTGCTGCCGTGTATGAATTGGCCGCAGAAGTAGTGTGCTAAGTAAGAACATTTAGGCATGATGAGTAAGCGCATACATCATGGAGTTTCGCATTAAAAGCTAGTAACTTTTAGAGGGAAAAACTATGATAGGTAGGAGATAAAACGATGATAACACGCTAATGCACCGAAGAGTGACCGACAGAGAAGACAGGTTAGCACAACCTGTACGATCACTGTGCTGTGATAACAACGAAGTTTGATCGACTCATTTGGTGAATGTTCATATCGCGTCTCTATAATTATATGCGGGACTGCTGTGTGAGTACGGAACAACGATTAACGTTTCCAGACAGTTTGAACGTCGCTGTTAGTGTTCAAGAAAGCTACGGATGATAAAAGGCAGAAAACAACAGTTGTCACCTAAATCTATCACAGTGTTCGGAAAGAAAGGAGCTGTCAGCCGCTTTTTAGTTCTTACTTGCTTGCATGTGTAAAGTCACATTAGGTCAGTGGTCTTTGCAGGAGTCAGTTCAGTGTAAACTAGACTGACTTCCGCTCCAGTTTAGGTTAGGCTGACCGCTGGTTGAGCTTCGGAATGCTCTTAAATAACGCCGTATATTTACACAGTACACCATGATAATTGTTCCAGACTTAATGAACAGTTTCGATTTGTTAGACGTCACCCAGCTGTGGCATGAGCATTATTGAGGAGCACATTCAATACATATCTTGTCATTTTAAAATATGCACACAACGACCCAAAGTATCTTTTTTGAGTCGACAGACAACTTAACTCAGTTCACTTTGGAGACTAAATGCATTGATGGTATTTCACATTAGCAGTTTTTTGGTATTGTAGTAGGGCTACGTTGATATTACGCAGTTGAATATCGCCGGGCAATCACACAAAAAAGCTGACCAGTTCACAAACCTAGTTAATCATAACTCCTGTGACGCTTGAATCTCCAAGTAGATTGCGTCACTTTGCTTCAAGAATCTTGCGAGTTATCAAGAAATAAATAATCTGTTGAAAGAGTGCTATACCAATCTTTAAGTCATAGATTGCAGCGATTATCTTTGCTGCACTCCCATACACGAAAGAGCAAAAAGGCTGACTGATGAGATCGTAGTGGCGTGGCAAACAGTTGCGAACGTGGCTATTTCTGCGTATGTCTTTGAAGCTTTTGGCCTCAGTGTCAGTAACAAAACGGATAGGAAGTTTTATACGACTACGTGGTATGTGGAAAAATTGGGCTTCTGCGTTTGCTATATTACATGTAGTCGATATCACTTCACAAACTCATTGCGTCTACCGTTTTTTAATTCACACCGTCCTTACTACTGTCCTCCAGTGTTATTATGTTCAAAAATTGAGAAAAGCTAAACTGCGCCACCTGATAGCTGAGAGCACAGTATTTGGTTGCATAGAGGTTGTGATTTAGGGAACTTGTTTCATTGCTCAACGTTTCAAGGATAATATCCGTGTAACTTAGCTAAACTGAGCTTCTAAGAGTGGGGTTGTCTTAAGCGTTTAGATTTTCTTTGATAGGTTAACTTAGAATGTGCAGCAAGGCAGATAGGTATAGAACAGATGGACATTGTTTGACTAAGCGAAATACAGTGCGTATTTGCTAATTTAACTATAATCATTCGTCATTTGAATTGTGGAATCATACTGTGACCAGCTAGTGTTGCCAAGCCAGACTAAGTCAATAACTTTATTTCACATCGCCCAAACGGACTAAAAATATCAAAAAAGCCTCTTACAATAGTGTTACTAGCATAAGTTAAGCCACCGTAATAACTGTCAAACAGTAGCCATTTATTTGTAGGTAGTAGGGGGTTATTAGGTTTTTGTGTAGCTTCGTCGCAGTTAGACACAGACAGACAGCCACCACACCTCCAGGAAACCGCTAGACGGCCGTTTCGTGCTACTGGGACTCGTCAGTAGCGCGAACCCGCCGCATCCTGCCACATTCGAACCCACGACCTTATTCTTGCGAGTCAGCCACTTATGTCCCTGAGTCATGGGCGACGGCATCAGACCGCCATGACTGATATCTGACTGTGATATAGCGCGGTTCATCCTCCACTCTCTTACCTGTTATGAATGTGCCGAGGACAGAGCAACCACTTCCTTCCCAAGCCGCCACCAATCGAGGTGGCATGTAAGTCGCTAAGACGACTACTAATTATTTGTAAGTAGTAGGGGGATATATTAGGTTTTTGTGTAGATTCGTCGCAGTTAGACACAGGCAGACAGCTACCACACATCCAGAAAACCGCTAGACGGCCGTTTCGTCCTACTGGGACTCCTCAGTGGCGTGCACTCGCCGAATCCTGCGGGATTCGAACCCATGACCTTACTTGCGAGTCAGCGACTTATGCGACTTATGTCACTGAGTCATGGGCGACGGCCGCGGACTGCCACGACTGAGATCTAACTGCGATATAGCGCAGTAGTAGTAGTCACCTTAGCAGCTTACATTTCACCTCGCTTGGTGGCGGCTTGCAAAGGAAGTGGTTGCTCTGGGGACCAGCCCTGCACTCTTCATATCCATAACATGCAAGACGGTGGAGGATGAGCCGCGCTATATCGCAGTTAGATATCAGTCAAGGCGATCTGCTGGCGTCGCTCATGGCTCAGTGACATAAGTCGCTGACTCGCAAAAGTAAGGTCGTGGGTTCGAATCCGGCGGGACTCGGCAGGTGCGCGCTACTGACTAGTCCCAGTAGGACGAAACAGCCGTCTAGCGCCTTCATGGATGTGTGGTGGTTGTCTATCTGTGTCCAACTGCGAGGAATCGACACCAGAAGTAGCCTTGTAGTAAGTTCTGACCACGTTGAGCCATCTTATGTTGCTTCGGTCTTGAAAGGATGTGCACACCTTTGGAGATTGATAAAGAAGAAATAGATTTTAATAGATAAACAGTAGATGATTTAAATTAAGGGATAATTTAGGGTTTGTTATGTGAACAAAAGTGTACTGTCTTACTCTTTGTTACGTGATTCAGCTCGAAAGCGACCTGCATTTTTATGGTATCCACAGTAGGGTGCTCTTTATCCATCAGCCTATTAGCACACAACTAAAACCATATGGTTAAATTAGAAAAGTATATCATTTTGTAACGCACATACCTTAATTAATCTGTGTACATCTTCCTTCTTTAGCGGTTTGTCCGGAAGAAATCCGGAATCGGGGTCAAGCACGACGGCTTTCACCTATGAAGTAATTTTGTTCAAACAGTCACTAATGCATTGGCACCATGTAAGCAGCAACAGTTTCCGAGACATCTTCACCCCTGGATGAGCACTCCTGAATCACTTCACTAATGATGCGTGAAACGACTCCTTCTGCCCTGTTCTTCATTCTTCAGATAAACTGTCCTACGAAGTGTCCCGAATGAGTAGTGTGGTAGTCCCGATGGACTGCAAAGGAAGACAAGGTATTAGTTAGGATTTTAATTATGACAGGTTCAAAACAGTAGAGGATCACGGCATAAGGCAAGAATTAGTAAATTTCCTCTAATAGATCATACGAAGGAGACTGGTGGGTTCCGTGGGAAGATCATTTGTTTGAATGACTTCTAAGACCGTCTGTTCTCTGTTCACTTCATATGTCTTTCCGACATTAGAATACGGCTTACCGGCTAGCCATCAGTTTTCAAAGTTTTAGGGGCGCTCCTCAAAATATGTCATGGGATTTGTAGTTTTCTAGACCCCTCCGACTACAACAGCGAAATATTTCTTCGCGGGATTCCACCGTCATCAGCCTGAATTCAACTAGGCCAGCCGCTTACTACGAAGCGAAATTAGAAGTAAAATAGAATAAAACATTTCAGCCTATTGCCTACTGTTTCACACGAGGTCACAAGTAGATGCTGTTCAAAACAGAAAGGCACCAAACCAGCCCAGTTCTCACCTTACAAGCTCGAGTGGTTAATGACTAAAATCGTCTGTCGAAATAGTCCAAAAGAAAAATCAAAATAAACACCGGGCAGAGATCAAAATACGTCGTTAAAGAACACAGTGCCATTTTATACTGTATATCGCTCTCCATTGATACTGATACTGAGAAAATGCAGCGAGTAGAGTTGCCTCTGTGTAGCTGCAACTAATATTTTTCAAGTAAATCTACTAATTAGGATGGTGATTATTCCCGATAGTTCGTCGGCAAAGAGTGTGTTCAAGGGTTTCCTAAACTCCGACGCCAACTCTGCAGGCAGGTTGTTCCAAATATTCACCACCCTCCGCTCGAAGGAGAGTTGGTGAGCGACCCGTTTCAAATCCGGTACAACAAGCTTGTACCGGTGTCATTGTGTGCTGCTTCTTTCCGGCCATCTGCCGGATTTCATTGGCTTACGCCCGTCGTTTGTTGAGAGCTGTTGGGACCAACCCCATCTTGACGGAACAAATTTGTGCTTTGTTTACAACTAGCAACCCAATTCTTGTCGGTTCATTTGGTTCTTGTGCAGATGATCAGCTAGCTGTGTCCACACATTGACTGCCTTTCCTTCTGCCAGATCTGCCGGTTTCGTTAGCGCAGCCTATCGGCTGACATCGCGCGATACCTCATCTGCCACAAATCAGTGTAACTTGCAAAATACTCACCTGCAGTTGACTTGAACCAAGATCGTACACGACTCATAGCGATGCAAGCCCATTTACACTCCTTCAGTTGGACTGCGTTGGCGTGGTAACTTTGTGTTCGTGGAGCTAATTGGCTTCCTAGTCTACTAGCCGAGTGTCGGTTTCCTTCGCCCGAACTTGCCATCAACCTTTACATCATCTGCCAAAGATATTGTGTACGCACAACTGACTGGTAGGCAAAGACTGAACGAAGGTGGCTGGATGCGGCTGTTATCAAGGCAACTGCGACAAGTTCAAGTAAAACGTCGTCATGCAACAGCATGCATAAAATTTACGATGATCCGGAATCGACGGATCGGACAAAGATATTCCTTTCTGTTCCCTCAAATTCAGTGGCCTCAAGGAGTTCAATATTCATAGTATATCAGTTTATTTCTGGCCGGTCACAAGGATGATATAAATAGTTATCTGTCGGTTTGATCCTTTGGAGATAGGTGCTGTGATTGCCTTGTCAAGTATTGTGCATACCAGAACACTGATAACTGCGACGTGTTGTTTGCGCGGCTAGGGTGTGGATGAAAGATGAAAAGTGGTGGCTAAGCGACGACTTGATCAAAAGCAATGAGATTCCTTACTTAAAACTTGGCCTCGGTTGGAGCGCCTCGGCTCCCAGATTGGGGATGGAAATACGTTGAAAAGTTTGGCTGCATACACTTGCTGACATGGCTATGAAACGATCACAATGGCGTTTGTGTTGTTGTCCCTTCTTATCCTTCTTAGCCTCTAGTGTACCGGAAAACACGCTCTTTCAATATTTGGCAACTTTAGGTTTACGGTTGTTTTAACATTTAAAACGTCCCCTTTATTACTGACGGTACATCCGTTGACACAGTTTTGGTGACTACCGTGCTGCACCGTTTCTCGCTCTGGTTGATTCGCTTCTTACTTTTGTATTCTGCACAATATATGTTGGGTTCAGCCGCTTCCAACTTCTATACCGTCCCGTAGTTAGCACCACTTGCGTGCCACTGGTTACCTACTAGTATCCCAGGCTCCATCCACCAGTTGGTGACCCCGGTCAAGAACACGCCGTCCGCCATTTGAATTTTCATTCTGGTAAGCTCGTTTCAGTGATTTTGTGATTCAATACTTGTGATCGTATTATTTTCTCACCTACCACATTTTTTATTTGCTTTTGCAGTGGATTATCTAGAGGATGAGCCATCTTCATACGCAGTTAACGTCGTTGAACCTGTCCTGGTCAATGCAGCTGCATGAGCCCCTCCACCTTTTCGGGACAGTAATTCTTTGTTATGGTTTTTGCACCTAGAATCCGTTTTTTTACATTTGTAGGATTTCTTCTGATTGCGCCGCGTCTAATCAGCGAATATTTCACCTTCCTCAAAGTATATCCTCGCAGGTGAGAGATATTATATTTTGCCCCTTCTTGTAATGAAATACGAGACTCTTAAACAAGCTATTATTCAGCGAATCACGTCTTATGACAAGGTCCGTTTGCAGCAACTACTTAGTGATCTGAAACTAGGAGATAGGATGACCTCAGCCTTGTTACGCCAAATGCAACAGCTCATCGTCACGTCCAACATGGAGCTAGGGATTCTCCGCGAACTGTGGATGCAACGCTTTCCTGAAAGCACTCAGGCTACCCTTGCAGTAGCATGTGACTTGCCAATCACAGCAGTTGCAGATCTGGCAGACCGCGTCATCGAACGGCACCAGTCAGAGACTGAAACCAAAGCACCTCAGCAGCTTTGTGCTGGCGCAACCACACCGACACCTGCGACTAGTCAGCCATCAGCAACAGAAGCATTATCATCGCAGATAGCGTTGCTTCAGCGCCAGATCGAGGAATTCACTTTAAACCGTAAGCACCACAACCGCTCTGGATCATCGCCCCGTCGCACAAAACCTGATGCCACAGGTTACTGCTTTTACCACTCGCGTTTCGGTAATAAAGCCCGGAAGTGCGTACGGCCGTGTAGCTACTTCGCTATAGCTGATCCGCCACGCCGGTCTGTAATGGCCACAAACGTCGGCAAAGCCAAAAGACTTCTCGCCTACATTAGTGATTATGATTCGGAGGCCCGGTTCTTAGTTGATATCAGGGCGGAACTCAACGTCTTTCCCCCTATGCCAGGTGAGCCTATCGCTTCTTTGTCGATAAGCCTAAGAGCCGCCAGTGGCACGCTAATAGCCACCTACGGTCTTCGGCGCACCGTGGCTGCAGTCCCCTTTACCATCACCGGCATTGACTTTTTCAGGAATTTCGACCTCTTGGTCGATGGGAAACGCCAGATGATAGTCGACACTGCAACGAAAATCAGTGTATGTGGTATCACATCCGATAAGGCATCTATAACACCAGTATACATTTTTCCTCAGACCGCGCCAGACTATGCCAACCTCTTTCCGAAATATTCCAAGCTCGTTCAGCCAATGAACGCGGCTTTGCTTGCGGCATCCCAAGTCACCCAACACATACGGACGAAGGCCCCCTCGTCTCATGTCGCTCACGCCGACTATCGCACGAGAAACTAAAGGTGGCTAGGGCGGATTTTGAGAATGTGCTCGAACTAGGAATAATCCGCCCTTCCGACAGCCCTTAATCCTCTTCCCTGCAGATGGTTCTCAAAAACTCTGGTGACTGGCGCCCTCATGACGATTACCGAGCACTCAATCCGCTAACTGTTGCAGGTAGGTATGCCATCCCATACATGCAAGACCTTACCGCATGCCTCGCAGGTAAGACGATCTACAGCAAGATCGAGCTGGTTCGCGCCTATCACCAGAGACCTGTAAAAGAAAATGACATTCCTAAAACAGCCGTTATTACTCCTTTTGGCTTGTTTGAGTTTTTAAGAATGCATTTGGACCGCACAATGCCGCACAAATCTTCAAACGTTTCATCCAGGATGTCACTCATGTCCTAGACTTCGCTTATTCCTACCTCGAGAACATTTTAGTAGCCAGTTCATCGGAACATGAGCACCTCGAACCTCTCGCAACTCTCTTCCAGCCTTTGACCCAACACGGTGTCACAGTCAACCCGACTAAGTGCGAACTCGGCAAATCAATGGTAGAATTCCTAGGCCACCTCGTTTCATCGTCCGGTATCGAAGTCCTACCTGATAAGATACAGGCAATCAAGAATTTCCAGGCGCCGACTTCGTTCAAGCACCTCCGTTGCTTTTGTGGTTTGGTCAAATATTATCGACGCTTCATGCCGCCCTGTGCTCAGCGCATGCAGCCTCTGACTGAGATACTCAGAGGGAATGAATGTAAGTTCGCTTTCCCTGGCACAGCACAAACAGCCTTCGTTGAGCCCAAGGACGCTATGTGCAACATAACCCTCCACGTTCATTTCGAATCGACTGCACTCCTTTCTTTTACGACGGATACCTCAGAGGTCACGGTAGGAGCAGTCTGTTGTATACGAAGGGTCAAATGCACGAGCAAGTTAAAAGGTCACTCTGTTAAACGAACTGCTGTAATCTGATCAATGTCTAACTGGGTGAGTACATTAAGGTGTCGCAAGGAGAAGGATGAACCAATAGGGAAGCAGAGAATTAGACGCTTTGTGTGTGTGTGTGTGTGTGTGTGTGTGTGTCTGGGGTTGTGTGCACTTGTCTGTTTAGACTAGCCGTCAAGAATGCTGACAGAATACACAACATCACCTCTCCGCTTAATCGTATGATGCGTCAAAACCATATCGATTCGATCGTCTTTGTTCTCCGCTCGTCCTGCGGAGCTACGTGCTTTGCGTGGTTTCATCAGTGAAGGTTGGTGGCATGTGCTCCGTTCGTCTGATACTTGTGAATAATCT